CCCACAGACGCACCGTAAAAGTGGGTATCCCGGTGAAGCTCTCCAGATGCTTGACATGAGCTTTACTCAGCTTCTTGCAATGGGAATCCCGCTGATGGTCGCAATCTAAACAGGGCTGCGTCATCCTCTACATAACACCCCTGACTGCCGACTTCACTCAAATTAGACTGAACTGTAGACAGTCGAGTATGTCGATGACTTCCTCGTCAGTATGCATCTATTTGCCTGTTCTTATCGATTTTGTACCTGGAATTTTAGAGATCCTGAAAGTCCTTGTGAATGAAGTTGAGACAAAATACGTTTACGATGATCCCCTCACTCCAGTCGTTCCACCTTCGTCCCGAAAAACTGCGTACCATCATCCAGAATACAGGCAACACTATACCTATGCACTCCAAGAATCTGATGAAGGCGAACTGGTGATAGATATTCCAGAACAGGTGCCCATTATCCAGGTATTTGCATTGTTCCCAATGACAAGATTCTGGGTCCTTCTCGTAAGCTGACATTACATATGGACGAAGACCACCCAAACTAACGGCACATCTGAGCTATCAACGCAACCTTCTGGTAAGATTCTACGGTGCTGTCACCCCGTTGGATGGCTCCTCAACATTTCCGATTTGTAGATGTAGAACAAAGCACAGGACGTCCTCCGCCTGCCCCCAGTTTTGCCACTATTCAGGTTCAAGTAACCTTCATATTGACTGAGCCCAGATCAGGGCTTCACTTTGTTCTTCCTGATGCACTTGTAACGCCAGACGTAAGGAATTTTGACAACACCGTTGATTTCGCTTGTTTTTTATATTTGCACCATTCTTAAACGCGTTACACAGAGATACCCTCAATTATACTCGAATAACCAAACCTCAAGTGCTCGCTTATGGATACCTTGTATTGACCGATATCAAGAACGTTGTACGTGGGATATACAGTGTGTGACACCGCGGACCCTGCGGGACGCGTTGCCAGAAACTTTTGGTCCTGGAGGAGTCGGCGACGAAATTGATGAAGAGACGGGTCAGAGACTGGGTGACAGAGAGATGCTCGTTCTTTGTAGCGGGGAGTTGGATGAGCAAGTGCTACATCCTGTGGATGCCACGAAAAAGATATCCAGTTACGTGCTAAGCAATCCAGTTTGTCCTGCAAGTATAATGCTTGCGATTGGACCCTTCGACAGTATACCCATTCCCCAGTGGATGAAAGCGACTGTCCCGGAGGACATGAACGCAGACGAACAAGACGAAGTCGATACGACAGGGGCCGAAGCTTTTATCCGGGACCATGATATTAGCGATGGAGGGTACGCCTTTTGCTTGCCAGGGAGACGTGAGCAGTTGGAGTATACGACCAGTTTTGTAGCCCAGGTTTGTTGTTAGCACTCAACAAAGTCTTGTCGCTTTTGATTCACTCTATGGTTCGATAGGCGTTAGCTTTTTTTGAACAGTATCTGGGAGTACCGTTCCCTTTTGGTTCATATAAGCAAGTTTTTCTTGAAGACACCTACAACCCTGCGGCTGTCGGTGCAACTCTGGCTGTGTTTAGGTACAAACTCTGTGTGCTAGATTCTTAAGGCTTCCATCAGCTAATCCGCGGGCAACATTTGGCGAATTCACCGGATTTTAGTTCTCACCTTCTGCTGGAAGATAATATAATTGATCAAACGTATGAGACCATGCGGCTGCTGTGTCGAGCACTCGTCACCCAATGGTTCGGGCACTACATTGTGCCGAAAACATGGTGAGTCGCTCACACACATTGTACGCGTATTGTTCCATTGTATTGATGCACTGAGTAGGGCTGATACGTGGTTGACTGTTGGTTTAACCAACTATATTGTGGGGCTGTTTCTGGAGAGATTTTTGGGCAAAAATGAGTATAAATTTCGACTTAAAAAGGTGAAGCGGATTATTGTTGTGATCATGTTGGAGGCAGTGGCTCATCGTTGCGTCCAGGACATGCAAAGAGTATGCGAGTTAGATGTCAATCAGCCACCAGTTTATCCGACCACTGTCGCACCAGATGATCCGAGCTCAGATGAGCAGCCGACTATGATCGACCCGCTGGTGTTGCAGCATTTCCATCCGGACGATGATTGGGCATCAGTACGATCCGAGTTTCTGTCACTGAAGTCTCCGATAATTCTGTATATGCTCGAACGACGCATGGGCAAGGGGATGCTGCAAAAAATGGTCAACAAAATTTTGCTCAGCGCAGCTGCTGGGGAACTACCCAATGGTCTTAGTACACATCATTTTCTCAGAGTAGCCAGGAAACTCACGGGGAAGTTGGAGCTGAAGACCTTTGCCGATCAATGGATATACGGTAGCGGATGTCCACGATTCTCTTTCAAGTATAATTTCAACCGGAAGAAGATGATGGTGGAGTTCAAGTTCCGTCAAGAGAACACGAATGGTGGCATTGTTGGAAGCACTCCAAAGTTCACGGTAAGGTTGTACCTCAACATTTTATTGTAGCAATTGTTAACACGTTCACCGCAGGGTCCTTTCACAATACGAATACATGAGCCTGGTGGAACTTACGATACTGAAGTCCACATTGACGACTTGGAAAAACAATATGACATTCAATATCATACGAAGTATAAACGTATTCGACGAAAACCTATTACCGCGAAATCGAAGAAGGGCACAGAGGCTGGCGGGACTGAGGAAGGAACGCACGATGTAACAAGAACTGAAGAGGGACGGATAGAATGGATTGACGAGGAACCTGAGAGGTGAGACTGAGCTTTGCATTCATAACTCCTAATGGCTAATGAACATCGGTCAGATTGACGTTCGAGTGGATTCGCCTTGACCCTGATAACCAATGGCTTTGTATAAAGATATTTGAGCAGTCGGACTACATGTGGGCAGCCCAGTTACAGAAAGATCGAGATGTGAACGCGCAATACGAGGTACGGATTGCTTTACCGGCAGGATGGATGTGTTGTGAAGTAACTTACAGATGATCTGCCTTTCTAAGGCCATTGAGGCACTGGATCACTTACCTTCCCAAGGCACTTGTGCGGTCTTGAGTGATTTTGTCGGAGATACAACCGCGTATTACGGCCTGCGGATGGAAGCCGCGTGCGCGCTGGCAAGGGTATGAAGACCAGTTCTCCTTCGGAATGCGTTGCGGCAGGATTTAATCGGCCATATATGTTCAGTGTACATCAGAGCACAGAGGTGCTCTCGGTGTGAGATCACTATTAGATACTTTTCGGGAGAAGTTCTGTTTCGGTGATGCAAATGACCCCGACGCAGTACTGCCAAAGAGCAACGATTTTACGGAGATGCAGGAGTATTTTGTTAAGAAGGTACGATAGTGCTTGATAGGTTACCGGACCAATGGATCACAAACCTGTAATGGTCAGGCGTTGATTTCGGCGATTGCTGCTGTTCGAGAGTTAGACGACATAGCGCCCATTCAATGTCGACGATTTCTCCTGGCCCTGTTAAAATTCAATGATAATACCGGCAATTCCGTAAGCAAAACCTCCCCTTGCGATTGTTTCTGACAGGCTGAATTTAACTGATTATATGCCCCACGGAATGTTAGTTTTCGGATAACTACTTTGTAGCAAACCTGATAGTCGCAGTTGGAAATTCATTTCTGCCTACTGCCAGACAAGTCAGAAAACGCCCGGTAGTTGCTATCCCTCCTCGCGATGGGACCGTAGAAGAGTTCTCTTTTGGTGGCGATAGCGATGACGAGGATCTGTCGGCCGCGATGGGAAGCACGAGTGCTACAGCAGCGAATATACCCTTGTTCAGGGAAGCACTCCGCGAAGTTCACCGTTATCGAAACCTGGACCGGTTAATGCCGTCATATCATAACGCAGTGACCGCCGCGTGTTTGGAGGTATTATATCATATCATACGGCGTAACTTTGTGATATCATACTAATTTGGTGACCGGTTCCTTTCGTAGACATTGCTGAAGTGGATGCTTGCTACTCTTATACCGGTCGATATGCCTCTATTCCTTCAGCACGCAAGGTGACGATAAATCCGTAGCTGCGGGCAGGTCAACATATTTATATCCTTGCTTAATTCAGATATGGCAACTTCCTGTACGTACGGATCATAGCGATCGATGCCCTTTTAGTTCTGGGCGGGCTTTCCATACCCGAAATTGCTCAATGGTTGCTAAGACTGGTCGCGGACGATCCGGCCCCCTATATTCGGTATCATGTGGCGAAAGCACTGACTGAATTTATTGGGGTCATCACTGGAGAGACCAAAGGGTCTATAACGTCAACTCCAGGGAATGCCGGAGTGCTCCTAAACAGCGGCGTTCTAGCCAATGGCCACGGTAACCGCCAAAATGTCTGGGAGCATATGAGATTCAACCTTTCTCAAAGACAAGACATAGCGAAGACAGTGTGGCATTTGATGAAGTATGTGAACTATCTTGTTGAGCTCTTCGTACTAATCATCTCATTCTTACTTGGTGTGAAAAATAGTTCCAATGAGACCCTCGATCACCGGGTGCGCACGTATCTTCTGCGATTTTGCGAATATTTGTACGATCCAGCTCCAGAAGAACCATTAGCAGCTAGTAGTGGCCCACCAGTACCCAAATTGAGGATCAAAATGCCTTCGAAGCCGGCAGACGATGTACGCTAGTTTTTTTGAATGTGGCGATTGGCGTAACACTAATCTGTCAGTAACAGAGCGCGAGTGATGAAGAAGCTCCACCTGCGGTGAAGAAGGTTACAATCAAAAATGGTATGTTGATGAAGGTAATCCACATTGGAGATCAAGATAAATGACTATATGATAGTCGCAGACTCGTTATCAAAGCCTAAAGTATCGAGTAAGCCCACACCACCGCGTGTACGAACAGAGGACACGAAGCCAGTATTGTTGCGACCAAACCCTTTGCCTCCGGAAATTTTGAAAGAGCCTGATCCGGTTTTTAAAAGTATTGGAGAAGCTATGTTAAAACGTCTCCGCAATCATCCAT